AACTATCCCAAAGCACTGTTTTGTGACCTTTGTTTTACTGGCTGTGGTTGTCATGTGGTGAAAATAACCAGGTGTATTTGTAAATTATTAAGCTAGAAAGAAATTTCTGTTCTAGCAAATCACAAAATGCAAGTACATGTACTCGCCTGAACTTTCTTGCACACCATGTGTTTTCAGTCGGTACCACAAAGGTCAGTGTTAATTTACATGGACGAAATAAACTACCCTGTTGCTCAAGACATATCAGTTGATTTACAAATTTAGATTGTAATATAATCATCAGGCATTATCAGCAATTGGGCTGATAGTTTTTTTATAAACTGTCGATATAATTTTTTACTAAAAATACCAAAAGTATGTCTTGTATTACGCAGCAAGTACAGAAGAGACTAAACACAACTAACAAGGAATTGGAGCGTGTAAGAAGTGAATTCTCAGAAAGTGAAACCAAGGTTGCGGCACTTAAAGTGGATTTACAGCGAGCAAAGAATAGCAGTGAGAAAAACAAAAATAAAGTGCAGGAGTTGAATGAAGAAATGTCTCGAATAGTGAAGTACCAGAGAAATGATGAAGAGGTAAGTCAACAAAGGTCAGAAATTGCAGAAATGTATGGCATTATGAATATATATGTACAAGTGTTCAATATATACTGGAATACCTGTAACATAAACTTGCTATGCTTCACCACGGATAAGCAATACTCAAAGCGCGGTAGTCGTTGCGCCGCGCATGTGTGATATTTGTGTTGATAAACATTGGTTTTCCCATAATTCAATGCGCTGTTCTAATGGAAATCACAAGTATGAGGTTTTACCTTGGCTCGACTTGCACTAATTACCGCCTATGACTCCTTCGATACCTTCCAATCACCTAAAAATACCTAATTAAAGCTTGGTAACGTCTCAGTTTGTACTCATTGATCTGCGCAACAGCCAAAGTCACCATCTTTGTTTATATGAGACCCATATATATCGTGCATGCGTGGCGCGACGACTACCGCCCTTTAACAGACATAAGGCACATCAAATTTTTTATATTTATAGCAATCATAGTTGTCAGAACATTCATACTATATTAACTTTTCTATTGGCATTTTGAAATAAAGTATGCCTTCTATAATGGAAATAACAACCGTGACCTTAAAGGCACTGATTAAAATTGGCACATTTTTTGTTACATTCCTTTGGTTACACAATAAGATACATTAATTTTTTCCTCAGAACAAGCGCATATTCCTGCATGGCCTTTACCAAAGAATCATTGCTGGTCGTGTTGTGTTTGATAAATCTGAGCCATCAGTCAGTAAGTTCACATGGGATGATCTGAGTACAACTGTACAGGAGCAAGTATCATCTATGATGACATCAATGAACAGAACACAAGAACAGGTAATGAACATGAGATTCTATAATTTAGAGACTGAAGTGCTCTATTAATTGGTTGAATATCCTACAGATATTGGCTGGATCAGAAGTCTAAAGTTGCCTAGGATTGTTTTTTGACACTAATGGGTCCATCTTAACTTATTAGTTGTAACATTCAGGAAAGTAGAATAGCCATACCGAATCAAAATTACTAGTATTTAGGGATGATCTCATATTCAAACATGTAGGTCAAACCTACGAAAACCCCAACCGCCCTAAACCGCCTGAACAAAACCCAGTTTCGCGGTTTGGAAGTTTGAACAATAGACAGTGCGGTTCAGGACGACCGCACGGATTTGCATAAAAACTGTGGTTCGAACCGATCTCATTCACACCTCATTCAAGCTGTTGTTTATTTTTAGGATTGACAGTGTTTACATTGCTTTTTTGAAGACTAGATAGTTGTCTCCAAAATGTGTCGATTTATTGATGTGCAGTAGTCATTTTACCGTTACACTCTTTCATATACCGGTGAACAGCATGCTGAATAAATTGTTTTGTTTTGTTAAACTGTTACGCTCGAGTTGCAAATTGAGCAGAGGACGTGAATCAGACTTTTCATTGGGCTGGACAATTGATATGCATCAGAAGACGAACATTTTTTGATACAAAGTTGCACTTGAGACTCACGCTACAGTGTTCAATCCATTACTACTGTTGCGCGTTCAATTTTCAAACAGCTTTTTCAGGAGTGCGGCATCGCAAAATCTGGAAAAACAAATGCAGCGTACCAATGGAAATTTATTCAGATTTGCTGCACATCGATTATTTGCAGTTTTTTCTATTCAATTGCCAGTGACACGAAGTATCAAAACAGAAAATTAAATTAAATAGACTCGCGCTGAGAACTTCTGTAAGCGATTCATCTGCAGACGAGACTGCTTATAAAAAAACGAACCCTGACCTTATTCATAGAGTGTCTTGTACCGAAGACCGTCGCCCATGGCGACACAATGCACGTTGCGATATCGCGATCGATGCATGCTGGGTGACAAGGTGAAATTCTGATTGAGGTAACCAGGATGACTGTGTTGAGTGCTTGATTTTCCGCGGTGTTTAAAAACAACACCTCGCTGCCTACTTCGACCACAGTCCCTCAAGGCACTGTGCATCGACGTACTTTCTAAAATAATTGTTTATTTTTAATTAACCGGGGGTTCGAAATGTGTGCATGTCACAGAAACGTAAGATATCGGCAGCGGTAAATACCCGCAATTTCCTGGCAATGCCGTCAGCTGACAATGTTACGGTGGTCGTAATGTTAGCGCCGACTTTAGTTTTGACGCAGTGATAGAGGGACTGTGGTTTTGAGACCCGGGTTTTGAGATGCCTTCGCAGAAAATAATGATGCCATTATTGATTTAATACTTTCATTATATTTTGATAACTCGCTCTCACAGACTTTACAAACTTAACCAAAAAATGTGTTCTATGAATTTATGACATGGGCACAAAACTGACTGTACTTGTTGCAGACAAAATGTACCAGTTCGCTCCATGAATAAACGTGTTTTACTAACTATGCCAAATATATATATAACATAAGTAATTTATCCTGCGAAGCTGCTCATTAAAATTCTATTGCATTTTTTCCCTGTTCAGTTTAAAACATTAATTCACCATATATATCACAATATATATATCACAATTCAAATTTAATGACAAAATATAACAAACCATCGACATAATTAATTCCAGATAAATTGACTAATTATTCACAATAACAATTGTATTGACTTGTACCAAAATGTAGGTTGTGGGAAACTAATTATTATTACCAATCACAGAAATAAATAAATATAATTTTCATCACACTTATAAATGACATGATGTAAATAGATTTGTGAAACAAATGCAAGTTTGTTTTTCATTAGCATTTACATGACTTGCAAAGAAAACAAATCGCTGCTGGAATTCTTAACACTGCAAAATATAGCACTCAGTATGAACATTGGGCTCCATAGTATGCATCTTATTTTTTTTCCTACTGAAACCAGGCTGAAACAATATTGTAAAAAAAACCTAGGTTTCCCTAGGTCTGTCTTTTTTGTTCTCTGTTGTTTGTTTTCAGTAGGGGCGTTAATGGGCAGTTAATCTGGAGGTTAGGCTCAAACCTACTACTAATTTGCATATTGTATGTCTAGTAGGTCTGAATAGGGCTGGAAAGGGCAGGCTGGGTTAACCCAGGTTTGACCCAGGTGTTTGAATTTGAGATCATTCCTTAGTAGTG